TTTGTTAACAAATTATCTACATCAATTTTCACACAAAAAATGAGCATAAATCTGATAAACAAGTAATTTTATTAACTGGAATGGTGACCAATAGAAAATGAAAATGACGTACATGTGTTTGTTATCGGTCAGTGAACGTAATTTACGTGCAATTTTGCATAATTTTTAAACATTTGCATTGTACACGTTTAAAAACTTTTAAAACAATTAAAGGGTGAGAAAATATGAAAAAGTGTACGATACTAATACCTGTTGTTTATGGTCATTCCAGAGACAGACAAATTTTGATTGAACGACGAGTAGCATAAACATGATTGCGTAAACATTTCTTGTCTTAGAAATTGTGACATTTGACTTTCAGTAGCTATCCCAGTTTTTATAATTATACACCAATTTTTTCTGCAACTAATTGCTGAAGGATGAACGAAATTATCAGTTAGGGTGATTGATGAGAGAATGTGTATGTGAGTAAATTATAGTATCGTGACATGACGACAGAGGGCGCCACCTCTCTTAGTGACTTCTCGCGTGAGAATTTAATCACTTTGGCGGCGTGATTGATTTGGTTTAACAAATTGATTTATCGCCAGGGCCATGCAACATTAGTATTACATTATGTTGTATAAATTGATAAGAATTAATGCAGGACATTGTTGTAATAACACTTTTATTCCGGCGGCGTGATGGTGTTTTTATTAAAATGAAGCAATTTTGAGAACAGTTGTTCACTTTTTTTATTGTGTAATCAATTAATGTTGTCAATGTTCTCCGGATGTGAGGTAATATCGCACGTGCAATTTATTTTTACGGGAACGCAATAACAAAGTTTCTTGTTTAACATGACCACATAATCTAAAGCGGATTATCCATTTTCCTCCGACAGACGATAACACGGATTAGATAAGCGGGAAAATAAATGAAAATGAAATGAGCCTGATTTTAGCACTTCTTCAGTCTGATACAGAATGAATAGTAGGTTCGTGCCGTTGATAATTGATTAATATATAAGAACTTGGTTTCGTAACTTAAGCTGTCTGCACTAGATCTTCCCCAGAATTAAAATTCCGGCGGCTCCAAATTATAAATAAATAACTCAATGTTATTAACAGAGAAATAAAAAAAAATGTGTTAAGGCCAAAAGTCTCACAAAAATTAGGTATGGTTAGATTAAGTGTTCTCGTATATTTTTGGTTTGGTTTAAACATATTTATTAAAGCTCGATTGCAAAACAAGTTCTTGCGACTTATATCAAGCACTTTCGAGTTGCTTCCTGGAACCAACCAGTACTGGTGTCATATGAAGAAACATGGTCGTGACCGATTAGGGCTCAAACCAATGATCCCTGGAATGATCTCTGGGTTGAGAGGCAGACACCTTAACCACCAGGCCACCACTCATTTATATATTTTTAATCTCCGTGAAAATAAAATGCCAGTGAATAATCGTTACTGTGCAGGGATTTCCAGGTAGGAAAGGGATGCCGAAAAGACATGCATTGTATTTTTTTTATCTATATATGAAAGTGTCCTCACAAAAATAGATCATCTTTAACGCCGATTTTAATACATTGGACTTTTCGCGGCGGTCATTTGACCTGATCGGCTTTTCTTGATAACTTGTAATTACAAGTTTTCTCCGCAAATGACCAACTACTAATCCCAAATAATTTGTGGGTCAGCGACGAGAGCTCAATAACCATCAGACTCAACGTCCGAGGTCAATGGTCACGTAAATAGTTAGCCTCTCAACGACTCCCTGGATTTCTAACCCCATGCGCGCCCTATTGAGTTAGTTAATCAGTCGGACCTCAGGTTTAAAAGTCTAAAATCATAACATTTGAATTTCTTACATAAATGAGGTGCGGCACTGTAAACAGATATGTATATGGAAATATAGTTTAGAAATATACTTTGAAATAAATAGAAAATCATATTTTTATGCTTTTCTTAGCCGGATTTGACTGAAAAGCGTTTAAACGCTTTTCATTTTGGGTCATTTTTTACAATTTAAATAATTATTCTGGAAAAAACGAAGTGCGCGAATGGTCTGAAATTTTGCATAATGATTAGAGATCAAAGCCTACATCAAATAGTGCATTTATCTGGAAAAAATACTTTCAGTCCCATCATGTCAAAAATCCTCAGTGGAGTCCCTTTAAGTAAGTAAAGATAAAACGGCCACAAATTTGTATCAAAGTAAAATGATCGGTCCTTTTATATATATAGGTGCTCAAAATATCCTCAAGTGGCAATACATCGATGATCTAGTCATTCATATAGCAATACATATTTTACAATGTATTTTTTACTTTACTGCCTTAAATACATTGAATACATTTTGTATTTTTGGATTGTGTATGCGTCTGAATTCAAAGTAGATCTTCCAGCTTGGCTGTCTATTCAAACTGTTCTGTTCAAACATTTTAGAGAAGTTCAAAACTGTTCATGAAGAATCGTTAAATACAACACTTTTACTTGACGTGACGCCATCCTATTAAAAGTTTGATACTAGAATATTTACCGCACTTTGATCCATCAAAATATAAGTTTTCATTACATCAGGCGTCGCATTATATTAATATATTGCAATGCTTTCATTTATCGTAAAATAGGGATATAAAATTTTATGCTATTTGGTTTTTACTATAATGATTTGCTAAAACTGCAAAATGTGCAAATTACTACGTACATTAGGCATGGATAAGGTTTGTCTATCGAAAATGGCTGCTATCTAAATTTGGTGGATACATTTTAGATATGATTTAGTAAATTACATAATGAAGTTTAACTCGTGCTCATAGTGAAAATGAGGCCTATTAAATTTACGTTTTTCAGTGCTCTAGATATAAATAAATATATAATGATAGACGGAAAATACTTGTAAATGTTTATCCCATGGATAAACACCTATTTGTTTTTAGCCTGAACATTATCATAAATTATTCATAAAATTTACAATACAGTTAAATATCTTGTTTTCGTCGTTGTCCGAAACACTGTTGTAAGTTTCTGCAACAGTAACAAAAAAAAAGTTAAAAGTCTTTGAATGGTAGGAGATTTTATGAGAACTTTAAATTACTGGCATAAACCAAAGTCGACCTGCACACCCGTTCAGCCTTAACATACTCTATACTGTTAGCTTTTCGATATATCAACAATTCTAATAAACACTAAAGAGCAGGTTCAAAAGTCAATACAGGGCACCTTGTTCCTCTAGAAGAATTATTTTTCAATGCAGGGCACCATATGATACGAGTAGAATCATTTTTCAATGCAGAGCACTGTATTATACGAGTAGAATTATTTTTTTCAATGCAGGGCACATCAGTACAGAGTGGAATTATTTATCAATGCAGGGCATCATATTATACAAGTAGAATTATTTTTCAATGCAGAGCAATTTATTATACAAGTAGAATTATTTTTTCAATGCAGGGCACAACAGTATACGAGTAGAATTATTTATCAATTCAGGGCACCATATTATGCGAATATAATCATTTTTTTCAATATTGGACACCAAATTATGCTAGTAGAATTATTTATGAATGCAGGGCACTATTTTATACAATAAGAATTAGTTTTCAATGCAAGGCGCCAATTTACAATTGTTGAAAAGTTAAGTTATCGTTTTATCATTTATTTATCAAAGTGAATTATTCAATCTCATGATTTTTGACGAGATATTGAAAGTTTGTTTACAATTTGGCGTCATTTTGTGCCAACTTTGAAAACGTCTACTAAATGCAGAACAAATACAGAATACGGCATAAATTATGATGTAAACAAAATTCTTTGTTTTTAGTAAATATGAGACATCGCATATGGAATATCTCGATTTAAAGTATAAATTCGTGATAGATTGTGTCAATCGTGCTTTGAGCTCTTTAAATATTCAAACGTTCTCACTTTTTAGTGAAATTTATTCCTTATTCGCTACAAAAACCAAACAAAATTATTTCCTAATCTCGCAGTATGCTACGGTGTTTTCAGCAGAACTTATAAATGTTTGCATGGTAGACGTTTCCAAACAGTCTGTAAATTAAGTTAGTGAATGTTTAAACAATTTCCGCCATATTTTAAGTAATACGCTTGTCAAGTCTGGAAGCTTTGTTTATATAGCAAACACTGAGCCTTCCTGAAATCCGGAAAATCGAAAACTTTTATTCTCAATTTACATTGAAGCTATTGTTAACTTAAAAAATATTTGTTTCTATAAGATAATAAAAAGCTTAGAATTGGCATGAAAAAGTGAGTTTAATCTGGAACTTAAAGTTATCCTTAAAAAGATAAAACTTAGGTTAGCAATGTCCTGAAATTAAATTGTACAGTATAGTTAGTATAAAATATAAAAATAGACATTATTTCTATACGAAGGAAAGCTATAGCTATAAAAAAATAACTATAACTGGCAATTTCAAACCTGAAATTTAAATAAACGAGAAACAAATAATCTAAAATGCTGCAATGAAAAATATATATAATATATATATATAAGGATGAATTCTCCTGAAATATGTAAAGTCAAATTAATCAAAGAGTGCAGTATTTTAAAGCGGCTTGCCATTAGATTCATTTAAATTTCAAAATTCTCGAAAATGATAGTTAAACTTAAAGTAAAACTAAACAAGGAGAAAATCCTACAAGCTTTTTTTTTTTTTTTTTTTTTTTTTTTTGGTTTTGAAATTTTATTTCATTTTTTTTAAACTGACTCTAATTTTCAACGCAATGAAATTTGCAGTAAGTGACTTTTAACACATTTAAATGAACTCATGATACGAAATTAATTGAAATAATATTTTTGTTTATTTGTGTAAAAATGAATTGATAAATAAATAATTAGTTAAAAACACACGCTTATTCAACTATAAATATCAACATCTTTTTCTCAAAATCTATTCTCAATTTCTAAATTCCTTAAAAATATACTTTTATTTATGTAATGAGACATGCCGCTTTAAATTCAAGTACCCAAAGATGATATTTTTTTCATAATCTTACCTGTGAATAATTGAGCACTAATAGGACGATGAAAGAAACGCAAAGTGATCGTAGTAAAAAAGACATTTTGTCGTCTGCTTGTGTTTTTCCTGCGTTCCGACGGTGTTCCTCCAAGTGCAAGTGTTATCCCGGATCGCTTTTTGGTAATCCCGCTCCTTACGTTTAACGACTTGGAAATGTTCTTTCACTGTCGCAAAAATTCTTCTCAAAACGATTCCAAAATACTGTTTAATATGCTAAATTTACTTTATTATCAAAGAAGCCTAAAATTATTGTAAATGCGCATTCAATACTTAATTTTATTACAAACTTGCCCTTTTTAGACAGAATTTATATTATAGTTTCCTAAGTACTTATTTACTAAAATCCCATCTGTATTTATGTTACCTAATGAAAGTGAATTCTAAAAAGCGCGATTTGTTTCGTAGAAAGTTTTTAAATGATTGCAAGCTACTGTACGTATCCAAGTTATTTCGTCAGATAAAAGCGGTTGGTTAAAATTCTCCACGCGCTGGCTGTAGTGATATTGAAATAGACTGATGCATTCAACTAGTTTTATATACTCGTTACACCCACTTTAGGATAATGCCACCACATTATAGATTTATAATAAAAGGTGGTACCAGTCAGGGGTTTGGCCTTTTCATGGACTCAATAATAATAGTAAACAGATTGTCGCAAAATATGCATTTCATAATAAACGTATTCGTGCGTAGATTGTCGTAAATTCATGTTTGTTGGCAACGTTGCGCTATTTTAAAGCGATTAATTTCCGACAGTATTTGGCGAACATTTTCAATGATATATAACTTTTTTGTTATTTAATAAAGTAACATGAAGTACAAATTTGATAAAAGACTTTGATTTAATTGCAGCAGACGATTAATGAATCACGTCTGCTGCACGACTGGAATGTACCCTGATACCTTATCAAACATCCGGGTATGCTATCAAATCGTTAAAACAATTAACCGACGTGCCTTGTTTTATGTTAAGCCTACACACAACATCATTCGGAATTCTTTGATTTTAATGGAATCATGTGATTATGATTTCTGTTATTGCCGTTTTGATGTTAGAATTTACCCTTGTGGATCGTATCCATTCGGTAATTCTAATTTAACTGATTCGTGTTGTCCGTGATTGACGTCAAAATGTCTGTTATGCCATGTACCCATAATTTACGAACACAATTATGAGAATTTTAAACGTTTTGATTTGTTAGATTACAAATAAAGCAACAAGAAGATTAGTTTTTAATAAATAAATGAACCTGGTTAGATGTTATCATACTTTATTCAACTAAATCAGTTACGATTTTTGTACGGTTAAGCGCCTCTTGTCCTCTAGTTATGTAACCCTTTCCAGCAAGTGCTTAAGTAATTTGAATAAAATCAGGGAGTTTGCTTTATTAAAATGTTCTATCCAAATACAAAGAATATTTTGTAATAAAATAGAACAATGCATATGTCACTATTTTAATTATGCGAGTTATTTGATAAAATTTATATTGTTTTCTACAAATCAAAATATATAGTATTCTATATCCCACAGCATGTAAAGGGGTTGACTTTTCTGTAACAAGCATATTACTGAACAAACAAACAAAAAAGGAAGGACCAGTTAGTAAGGTGGCCAAGCACCTTGACACACATTAAATGTATACGCTGTGAAATGCCGACAATATATGCCATATTATATACAACATTATGTTCCATTTCATAGAAAACATAAATGAAATATTAATTTTGTTGAATTCGATCTTTATTATTGAAAGAAGTGAAACTAAAATGATTTCAGAAGCAAAACTACTAGGAGGCGTGAGGGATGTTGCTTTTTCATAATCCATTATATACAAACTCAATCAAACCGAGTATGCAGCTTTCATGTAATTTTGTTGCGATTAATGCTTCCGAGGGATCACCCTTTTTCGGATTTATACCGTTACGAAAACAACCTGACTGTTTAGAAAAATAGAAATCTACATCTTCTTAGGAAGGAACCATGAAGTATGTCAAAGTAGACAAACATTTTACTTTCATTTTTTTGGCACTGTTTTTACTAATGCAATTAGATCATTAATAATTATTCAATTAAAAATATTTTGGTGTCTTTTTGACAACAATAAATAGCTTAAAACAAATATGTATGAATAATATGATTCTATAAGTGTACTCTTTGTGAAAATATTGTTAAACGAAGCGTGCATTTTTAAAGTCCTTTAATATGTTCACGTATTTTGAAATTTTCTTTTTCAGACAAATAAATTAACTGCAGGCAACAGAGACATAGCTTTAAAATTAAACAAATACATACACGTATTGTTTAAATCTTAAATTGTGCGTCCTCTTCTTAATTCTTCTTAAAGCTGCATTCGGCTTTTATTTTCTGTTGGAAAAATCAATTAATATGTACTCTTTCAAACTAAGCATTTCAGTCATTTTATCTCGGAAAAGTGGATCATATCACCGTTAAGCGTTCTTAAAAACAGCGTCCCGAGAGCTATTTATAACGGGTCAGTGACGTTCGTTTCTAAAAATAGAAAATTGGGAAACGAGAGCAGATAGGTAGATTAGAGGTATCAAGAGCATGTATCTTATCGTCGGCACATTTCGTTTTCTACCTCGCCAATGTAGGGCAAAACAAGCAGCTTTCGCTGTCGAGGACGGACGCCGGACATGTCACCAGTCATACCCTTAAAGGGTTAATTTTTAAGCACATAGTAGTGATAATTTACCTCCATTCAATTTCCACGGTGTATTATATAATTTCTGAACGTTTTATATTATTACATTTACAGCAAATTACGGTAAAGGGCGAATTATTTTGTAAATTCAACGGAAAACGAACAGAAAGCAAACATCCAATGGTCGGGAAAAAAAAACACGTGCAGCGGCAGATTTATGCAGAAGACAATAAACGCTTTGGGCTCATTACACCACGTGATATCTTTGATCTATAGCTAGTTTAATTAACATGGATTTAGATGGAAAATTTCTAGCTTTATGCTTCATGGTTTTCCATCAGGGAATGGTTGAAACAAATGTCTAAACAAAGTATTTTATATTAAAGTTCAGTATAACACCGAGCACCAAAACGAATGTCATTTCTAAACTTATTTATTTAAAATAACGCTGAGTATGTAGCAAAATACGTATAAATTGAGTTCTAAGGAAATAATTAAATATTCATAACCAGTGTGTAATTGTTTAAAAGAATATTTATCGAAAACAGTATTTTCTGGTGAAGCGCTCTGTCGGTTATATTCAATACGTATTTGAATAGCATATTTTAATTGAATGATCCCGACGGGAACAATCCCATGGGACATTGTGAAATGAATAATAACAATAAATCATATTGCGAAATAAAATATGTAAAGCACGTGGTATGATTTATGGCTGTTATCGGTTTGTGTAATAAAAAAAAGCCAGGTTTCTATTTTTTTTCTATTTTTGCGGGCTTGTTGATATTTCAATTGAAATTTGCTTTGTAGGAGACTTTTACTTTGATCTTTGACTTGAATCTTTGCAGGATATATGCATCGTAACGTTTAGATATTATCATAACATTCTTTGTTATCTATAAATATTACATGACTATAATATTATGGCGTAGCAAAGATAATATGTTGTCGTCATTAACAATGATTTGATTTATAATTTTAATGTCTTTTTTTTAACAAAAGGCCAATTTCAATAGAATAATAAGTAGTTTGCCATTCAAACAAAAATGGAATTATTAAGCAGGGAAACCGTATGGGAAAACTAATCAACGATTATCTCCCTTTTAATTTTTCATTACTGTAACAAAAAGCACATACTTTATTTATACTTTTGCTTTTCAGTCACACTGATAAAGTAAATGCCATATGGCAATTTTCCAGCTTGGTGGAGGAAGAGCCACATACCTTTCATCAGCTACGTTGATAGCTTCCAATCATAAAATAATCAGAAGACCCTGGCGGAATTAGTTTGAACATATTTTGTTGTCATGTACAAGAAATAATGTACATAAAATTTTCAATGAATACAAATAAGGATAAGACTGGAGTCAACCTAATGCTTATTGAAATCTTTTCGCATGAGAAATTCGAACCCACAGCAGTGGGGGGGGAGTTCTTCATACAGTCACATGACAGTTAATGTGTAAAAGTGTAAATTATGAAAATAAACAGCATCAAGGGCGAGAGACCTTCAAGGAAAGCAGACTCCGACATAACCAGCCACACAAAAAACCCGGAAAGTTACCAAGACTTCCGTGTTACACATGATAAGCTTTAAGATATGCTATATAAAGATAACAAAAAGTTTAATAATCAATTTTGTTTTAACATCCTGATGGTTATTTCTCAACAGAGATTTCAAAAAGGGTGTATATATTGTTGAATACACACGAATAGTAGTATGACAAAAAAACTTGATCCTTAATATAGTATTTCTTGGATATTTGCAAAACCGTGCATCTCTCAGTTTAATAATGGTACTTTGATGTGACAATATAGAACACAACCATTGGCACGAGCAAATTGCGGTATACTTATTACTGCCTGACAATGTTTAAGACACGGTACGGTATTGTTGGTGGCAGTTTTCTTGTCACAGTATTTCCGTATATCTAGCTGATTTTATCATATAAGATATTCTCTAATGTTTTGATTAAGAATTTTCTTACGGATTCTTCTTCGAAGGTTTTAATACCTCGTATTAAGATCATTGATTCTTTTCCGCTTTGTTAATTAACATTCTACAAAACACCCGATGTCATCATCCTAAACGTTATAAAAAACGCAATTAATTTCGTATTGTCATTTTGTTTCATCTATTTCGTCATGCCTGTTTTGTGTTATATTTAAAGACAGTTGTTTTTTGGCTAAAATAAAAATAAGTGTTCGTTGTTCTATTTCATTGGAAAATAAATTTTCAAAAATTCTGTGAATTACTATTGTTCTTGCGAGCAATTTTACTTCATTACACTCTTCATTTATAGCTACAGATTTTATTATCTTTACCGTTGTTAGACAAAATGCTAACAGATATAGTGTAATACGGAAATTTTTGATAGAAACAGGGATTGACGAAGATTGGAGAAACAATCATATAAATGTGTTGTCTGCTTACGTGAAATATTATGATTCATATGCAAGTCTGTGATTGAAAATCCTAACAATAACAAATTACGAAATACACTGTGGAAGAATAAAAATAATTTTCCTTACATTTTTAAGGTTGTCCCACGCAAAAAAAAATCTAACATCGGCCAGTATCGTAGCAAATCGGTTATTTCCGGAACATTATTTTTTCAAAATATTGGGCATTAGATTATTTACAATCATTCAATTTTATACTATGTACTAAATTCTGGCTATTGACGGTACCGAAGATTGTGAAAAATAATGTTCCGGGAATGACCGATTTATTGCTATATTGGCGGATGTTAGAAACTTTTTGGCGGGAAAGCATTGCAGCACGACTACCTTAAGGTCACTAAGCAACTCTTAAGAGCATGTACACCGTTTGTTTCTTTGTAACGAGAGGGAAACCAGATTGAAATATTAAACATCCGTTTGCATTCTTTCTAAATACATGTATAGGGAAGGAGAGTATGAATATATTTGCCAGCTAACACCGTCCTCAAGAGAATCTTATACATCATAACAGCGAAAATGAATAAACAAATTTGCTACATTAAAGGGGGCCTTTAAAACTAATTGGTAAATTTATCTAATCGTGTAACCTTTAATCATGGTTTTATACAATTTGTATCACATTACATGGTAAATGAAACGCATTCAAAGAGGAACTAGAGTACAAACTTGTTCTCTTATTCCCCCAATACAGCGTTCCGTATAAAAACATCAGTCATAAAATCTGTCCTATTCATTCAGCATGTATGTCTTATCAAAGCGCCGCCGCGGTTTAATACTGACAATAAAAGGAACTCAATTCCTGAACAGCATCAATCAGAAAAAATCATTAAGTTACTAATTCACAATGAAAGACGCGAATTCATATGGAGAATACTGCTTCACGTCGGCTTCCATGCTGTAGATTACAGTTATAATGTCGTTATCCCATGGGGCGGCCATTTTCCCTCAAGTCTCGCGGCACTCACGCGCTCATATTGACTTCTATCACGTGACTTAATGGAACAATTGCGTGTAATATTAAATACCTATACGTACTATTGATAATTATTAGATGACCAATATTTATAGTCTCATTAATGTCGTATTCGTTTGTGGTCATGTCTGTCAGGCTGTATTCAAATGTTCCCGAAGGTGCATTTGCGTGATCGTTTAAAGCAGATTGGGAATGCGTCAATACGGTACGGGGACGGGGTGACAGGCGATATTGCTACTTTGTTTCATTCCACTAATTAAACTCGGCGTATTAGGTAAAAGGTGTCCAGATTTATTGTTATAAAACTTCAAAGACTTTTCCTGGAACTCCAACTGTCAATAAATTAATACGTTTAGTTTACGTATGTTAAGTATTTATGGCAAAATTACACCTTGAATGAAGGTTGAGCAAGAAGGGGAAAATCAGAAATTGTAAGAGTGACATTTAACAAGGTTACTGTTAATACTAATTTATTAATGTGAGTTTATTAAGTAAATGAGATATCATCATTTAGCGGTAGTGTTCGTGCAATGACATTGAAAATATGATAATATGTGTAATGTCAAACATCACGTGATATAATTATTAATAAATTAATATAGAGCATGATAGGACGATAGATTGCGGCCAGTCAGTGGTTTACTCAGGTATTCGTCCGTATCTTCATCTACAAGGAAGGCTTGAAAAACGCCACTTGACGCCATTTGACCATAACAGTGTCGATCTGACTTATAATCAAACTAAAATCACAATGTAACTGTTTAAAATTAAAATAGACGCATCTTGAAATAGACACAATAGAGAGAACAAAATTTTATAGAAAAGCCTATTATAAGTATAAAAATTACTGTAACTTGTAAAAAGAAAAAAAAGATTTTAATCCTACATAAAGGTACGGCCTTATATGGTTTCGAGTTGTAATACCGCTGGTAACTTTCCAAATCACGATTTAATGTTCGAATCACACAAAGTACAGTGAGCTGTTTCATGTTGAATCTGATATCTCGTTAGTTAACGGGAGATCTTAGTATCTATTGATAAGTCCCCGCGTGTCTGTTAACGGCTTAAACAAGAAGACATTTCCAGTAAAAGTCTTAACCTGAACCTGCTAGAACCGGAAGTGGTTGACTTTTGCCATCAGTTTAGTGATTCAGAGGACAGACGATACATCCGGGCAATCTGACTGACTAGTCTCTTTACTGCTGGTAACTTAGGGTTGTTATTGTTTTTTGTAGGCTTTTTTGGGGGTGGCTTTCTTTCTTCATTTTTCTCTTTGAATGTTTATATCAAGAATCCTTAAACATTGAATTGAAGAGTTCAAGTCGTAAGAATGTTAAATACAAGGTTAAGGAAGAAGAAGAAAAAATAGTTCATTTCGGTGACATATATTTACAGCATATCGTTACATACATAAATTACAATTTTAAATATAATAATTCTGTAGTCACGTGACAAAAGCAAAGGAAACAAAAATGTTAATAATAAAGACTTCAAAAGTTTAACTTATGGTATTCTAGAAAAATTGATTAAGTTTGTTTTAAACGGAGAACAGACAGCTGCAGACAAAGAAAAAACAACAGAACATTATATAATTAGACATGGGTTTGTGGGTAACAGTAAAGATATCATCTGAAAAAAACACGAGGCGTTAGTCGAGGGTACCAATATTATAACGAGAGGTGAAATTTTTACTGTTACTCACAACCCATATTTATTTTATTACCCCGAACAAATAATGTAATCTATAAAACTTATTTATTTATGAAAAGACAACACCACATGACCAGACTTTATACTGTTAAAAAGTACTGTTACCCTGTAACAGTAAAAATATCTTAGTCACATGATACACTTGTTTTAACAGTAAGAATAACTCCCACTGGCCTACGGGAAATTAACATTACAAAAAAATTGAGGGGTAGTAACACAATATCATTATCATTCATAGAAATCAAGAGTTTAAGAGAAAAAAAACGCCTAAAAAGATATGAAAACACAACAGCTTAAAAGCGAAAGTGAAGTATTACATGTATAGTTTTAACAATAAGGATACGCATTTGTACTTATTCACATCTAGAAAATCGGGGTCAGGATTTTATCCCCATATCTTTATATCTCTATCACAAAATAAATATAAATATTGAATGCTCATAACTTTAAGTGACATGTTTCTACGATACGATAAAAAATCATCAGAATTTCAGAAACATCCGTGATGATTATGTTCGGAATACACGAATATTCCATTAACGGATCATACATGATGGTGAGAAATGAGCTAATAAATAACATGTTGTATATTTATGAAGGATTACACTTCAATATATTAATTGAACTTATATAACCTTCTCATGTCCTTATGTTATAGTATCTATGCACTGAATAATTTTACTGTATTGTTCATGTATTAAAACTTAGTTCGAGGGTTGGAATATGTATGAACGCGTTACAAGCCTAATTTAACGTATACATACATAGTATGTGCAGGAAAATACTTTTTTAGCCCATGCAGATTGCACATGCCTGAGAAAATAAATCTCATTCATTCATTCATTCATTCATTCATTCATTCATTCATTCATTCATTCATTCATTCATTCATTCATTCATTCATTCATTCATTCATTCATTCATTCATTCATTCATTCATTCATTCATTCATTCATTCATTCATTCATTCATTCATTCATTCATTCATTCATTCATTCATTCATTCATTCATTCATTCATTCATTCATTCATTCATTCATTCATTCATTCATTCATTCATTCATTCATTCATTCATTCATCCATCCATCCATCCATCCATCCATCCATCCATCCATCCATCCATCCATTCATTCATTCATTCATTCGAAGGTCGTTGTTGTTGTTGTTGTTGTTTGTAATGAGCAGTCGCATTTATCTATCAGTACTAGTTAAATATTTAAATCAATTTCCATACGACTAAATTCAAACTCATTTTACCAAATTGATTTTGTATTTTAACAATTTTTCAATAAAAAATATTGAAAATGCCATTTTGTTTTATTTCATTGCATCTACTTATTTATTTTTAAGATAAGTTATGGTTATTGATCATGGACACTGGAAAGCATGAAATAATAATGCATTTCTAACAGTAAAGTTATTGTTCAACTTTTTTTTTCTTTTGTATGTGTGGGGGCTGGGGACGATATATTTTTATTTTTTTCCGTATAAGGCTAAATAGCTAAATATATTTATTTTGCATATCCTCATGTTGTATTTTAATTCTTTGGTTTTTTTAATGCAAATTTAAGATCTATTATAAAAACTCAAAAATTAAATTTATAAAACCGCCATACATGTACATGAAATGTGTATTTGTTCGATAATTTTGTGAATATTACAATTATAGTAGTATTTTAATAAAAAAAATCTGATCCGTAAAAATCGGTAATTTTCGAATTATAAATGATAATATATACTAAAAAAACATTATTAAAAAAAATATCTATTCTATTTTCATTACACTATATAACTGATGTTTAGGCGATTTATTTCCTATTAGACAAACAGTAATGTCAATCAAATATATAGACATCTCTTTTTACTTATGTCGTATGAAATAGATACAAGTCGTCTGCTGTTAAGAAAGAATTTTATTCGAAAATCAAAATTTCAATCAAACCACAACAGATGGATGGTCCGTTGTTACCGGATAATTGTTTGTTTATACAAACAAAGTATACATCAATTAGCTATTCATGAAAAAGGCAAACCGATTCACACCTTGTAAAAAACCTATTAGCCGTTAGTAAAAGTCTTTTCTATAGCGCTAATTGCAACCATCAATAGAAGAATTACTTGCGCCTGTACAAACATTCTTTCAATATACCCAATCATCTGAGGTGCCGAAATATAACAATTGTGAGTAAAAATTTAAATACGGATTTACTCAAATTCTCAATTTTCTCTATATGCTATAAATTAGGTCGTCGGAGAAGTGTATGCCATTCTCAAACCATAAACAGCCAGGCAAAGAAGTTTGAAAAATTAAACATATAGAATATTATAAAATCTCTCACAGGAACGTTTGTAATTGTTGTTGTGATAGGGTCTTTGTGGACTCTTGAATTGGATTTAACTTGTGTAGATCTAAGGTATGTATGCTATAAAATAATCACTATTTTCTAAATATTTGTAAAAAAAAATCTTTTAATTTATTTATACGAGCAAACCTTGCAACTTATTTGTTTGTAATGATGTTTTTTTCTGTTTTGTATAGTTGATTTTCTTTTAGAGTATTTATATTTTATTGTTATTGTAAAAGAAAGTCATGTTTTGCTAAATATCAGATTGTATTTTAGTTTTATAACTGATATATTTCGCAAACGAGTCCCTTGTCAGTAATCAAAAAGCTTTAGTCTTGCTTTAATTTTCATATTTCGATTTCTTTAAGAAATTGAACATTTAAACGCATGACGAAAACTCATTCAATATGATTTCCATCGGCGGCTATTAAAAATAAACGTATATTTTATTGGCATTTTTCACAAGGCGTGATTCTTACGAAGCGCCGTCCAAATCGCAGAGGAGTGATTTTCGGATAGTTTTATTGTTTTTATTGCCGACTTCATTATATCATGACTATATGTGACAGATGATGCGATACGGAAATTACCGCTATCAAATTTGAAGGCTTTTTTCATGACGGGGGTGCCCACATTCAATATTTTCATTAACGAGTCTCCTTATACCAGACAACTTTCGGAGTATTATTTAGATATTGGATCGAAAACGAATAAATCATTTCATGAATCTAGCTTGTCAAGTTATTTTGGCATTTATTGGATGAAATGAATACAATGTCATGTACAATGTGCAGAGGTCTTTTGCGTATTTGTTTTGTTTATAATTTCACCAAGATCACAGTTTAGATTAGACACATTTATTTCCTCTGTTTTTGTAGGCCGAAACAAAATAAAACCTTAAATATAAATGATAATTACAAATTTTATAGAATAAGTTATCAACTCAAATCTGATCCTTGTAAATTCCTTGATTTTGTAAAACAAGTTTGATGGAAATATAAACGGGCTTGAAACTTTGTTTAAAAAAGCAGATGGTTCTTCACGTCTTTTCTCTGTCCCCTTTTGATTTACGGATATTTTGCTTGGAAATAAATACATGTATTTATTTATAATTTCAGAAACTTGTTGTAAAAATGAGACCGCCTATGTTCTCAACACCGCCCGCAAGTCACGTGGTATCCCGGAAGTTCGAGGCAACGCCTGCTGCCACGGGCAGACATGATTGGAGGAATCTCACGACAGATACGAGTATTCAGATAATGAGTCTGGAGTCGTCTGCGTATCACGAGGAGAACAGTATATATGACGTCACCAACCAGCTCTCGTTCGTCGACACTATCATAAGTCCCAGAGCAGACGATATTTTCCCTTGGACACCATTGGCCAGCAGTCCAGTAATGGATAGAGCAGAAACGCTTGTTAGTATGGATGCGTTGACCCATCACTATGGTAACATGTCAGATGCAAGACTCATATTTACACCAAAACAACGTTGCTTAGCAACACCATCGGCAAACATGGAGCCTGCTCACGTTCCAGTGAGAAAACATTGGAAAACCGATTGCTATCAAAAAAGATTATCTCGGAACTTTATCAGTGACTCTAACCTTGAGATTCAAAGAAAAGCAGACCATGAACATAAAAACCGACATGCGTTGGTAGCAAGATCTTTGAGTCTTAACTATGCTGAGTGTACAAGGACGAAACACGAGGACCTTTTAGTGAAACCAATCCTTCCGTGTTCGTATAAAAGTAAAATCGGAGGTGTAAAAAGAATTCCAAGCTTTCGAAATGCTATGTCAACAGCCCCAGTTATAAACTACAAAGTGGATTCAAACAATTATTTATCAAAACCAAAAGATTTGTCAGTGAATCAACATGATCACCAAAAACAACGATCAGTACATGATGTCGATATGCCACAATCAAAAATTACTAAACTTGTGAAATGTGGAATACGATCTGTTATGAAATCTAAAACTAACTCGGATGAACGAAGTTTAGATATCTCATCGTGTTTAAAGAGCGTCTCGGCATCAGAGAAGAGGCGGCAAAGGAAGACCAGATATTCTACTAACATAGGAGGACTTTCCGATTTTCTTAGAAAAAATGAAAGACGTAAGACCATTGCTGTTATTACTGAAGAAAAGAACAATCGTGACGTCAATAACGTAACAGCTTCTGAAACTGACATAGAAATAAGTGGAAGAGAGTTTTCTAACCAATGTGACCGTGAAAGAAATGTATCTAGACCGGTTATGGGTAGCAGACGCTTGCATTCTATGGGAATGTCTAACTTAAAGTTTGATCAATGTCAACGAAAGCTTGTTTTTCAAAATTCACAGTGTTCTCCAAAATTGAACGCAGGATTTGACCCAGTAAATTACACCGAACAATATATCAGTCCAGTGAACGAAGAAAACGGTCAAACGAGACTTCGTCCGAGACTTGGTGTCCTCGGGAAAACTAAACCTATAAACACTCTCCCCATCGACGAATTGGATATCGATGTAGTTTGCGATTTGAAGAGGCGAGTTGAACGTGCGAACAGATGTACTCGAATAAAAACAAATGGTTCGTTAAAAGTAAGACCAAAACTTTTACCAGCAATTAAACCAGTGGTACCAAGTCCCCGAAGAAAGAGTGCATTGTGTAGACAAAGCAGGATTTGTACGGCGCCCTCTAGTGGGCGGCATTATAAACTGAAGCGAGAGTCAATAGTTTGAAAAAAGGGAATGCAAAGCAAGATATGGCATATGTACTGATCTAGAACTCCCAGCGTTGCCGTACAGTGTTATATCATATCCAGTAATTAAGACAAATGAGGCAATGCCAAATGAGAAAAGTGCTAATTTAACATCATTCATGCTTTTGGGAAATTTCCGATAAAATTAAAAGCATTTCGTTTATCGCAAGAGCTGGATGGTTGGTGCTCATATAATATTTTATATGAAAATTGTTAAGTTTTTAAATTTTATTATTTGTACATAGCAAATTTGTAAATAGACTAATATGATGAAACATTAATAAATTATAAAATCTAATGTTACTGTTTTATTCTTTTTTCTTTATTGTTTTTGTTTCAAGTCACATTTGAAATCAAACAAGAGCGATTAATTCATTTTTGTTGTGAAATCCCAATTTTGTGTTATAATGAATCCCAACCTTAAATGATTATAAAAAGAAATGAATAATAGTTATATTATCTGATAACTAAAGTTTTAAAGTTGATGGTCTGCAATGAGAACATATTTCCATAACTATTTTAAATATTGATAAAAGCAAAATATTCCTTGAAAAAAAAATGTTGATAAAGTTCTAAGTGATTTAGTATGAACATATATATGACGAATAGTAGTATTTTGTTCCAGAACATTTTATAGTAACCTATATAAATATAATTATGCAATACCGGATAATGTATCTCATAATTGCCAACAACATCCACAATAATTTTTTTTTTCGTTATTTGTAGTTATGTCTGATACTAAATACTGTCAACGTGATTATGATCAATTTTATAACAGAACTTCCTTTATAGACCAACTCACTTTAATATTAAAGGGACTCCATTGAGGTTTTTTAACATGATTGGACTGAAAATATTTTTTCCAGATAATGTACCATTTGCCACTAAACGTTGTGCAAAATTTCAGATCATTCGAGCACTTCGTTTTTCCAGAATAATAATTCAAAATGTAAAAAAGTGACCCAAATTGAAAAGCGTATAAACGCTTTTTCACTCAAATCGGGCTAAGAAAAGCATAAAAATACGATTTTCAATTTATTTCATAGTATATTTCTTCACTATCTTTACATATATTTCTGTTTAATACGCCCCAGCTCATTTATGTAAGAAATTCAAATGGTATGTTTTAAGGCTTTGAAACCTCAGTGGGGTGCCTTTAAAGTGTAGAATAAAGGAACAATAAATTAACTATGCCATCGCGTTTATTACTTCAAAGACTTGTTATTTTGCAAAATAAATTTTGACCAACAGTGCAGCCTGACAAACCTTTTCGCTAAACAGGACGCCCTTGCTACTCGAACCTTAACCCTGACCACGCTAAATATCTTAAATGAACATTCCAATCGAACCCGGAGCAGTACCTCTAGATGCTGCAGAAATCAGGATTACAAAATAGACAAATATTGTTTGATTTGTTTTTTTCACCGAATCCTACATTTTCATTCATTATTGTATATACATCAGTGTGATAAGATGAATTGAGCCACGTCACGACAAAACCAACAAAGTGCGTTTGCGACCAGCATGGATCCAGACCAGCCTGCGCATCCGCGCAGTCTGATCAGGATTCATGCTGTTTGCTATCAGTTTCTCTGCTTGTAATAGGGTTGGTAAGCGTCTGGATCCATGCTGGTCGCAAACACACTATGTTGGTTTTGTCGTGACGCGGCTCAATTAGACTTTTTAAAATTTATTCCGATGGATGAAAAGGCGAGATTCTAGCATTTACTCATTCAAGCGCCTTTTCCTGTATATAATCAGAATACGGTTTGTAATGTGGTGCTCCAATCCTTATAGTCTCACTCATATATTTTATGGGATAAAGTTGCTACGTTTAAAACCTAAACATGTAAAAAATAATTTTCATATTGTATCGCCATCCACCTGCCTTTTGCTACTCCCACGCAAGAAGAAAGAACATACTAGTCATATTCTTATCAATTCTTTAATACATTTCATTTAATTTAGTCATCAAAACTTAGAGATTTTATGAGTTGTTATTGTGACTCAGTCTGATGAACTATCATGAAAAACCATGATGTATCATGAAATCAAAACAGAATCATACCCGCCTACATAATTTATTTTTGTATCGGTTTTCTGACAGAAAGGTTATTTGGAAGACATTTCATTTATTTTTTTGTAAAGGAATGTTCAGACATATTGCAATCTATATATAAAGTTTCAAACGTATTATGTAATTATCAAGTCGAGACTTTTTGGCACAAACTGCGCATCTTTTTGCACAGTAAATACACCTAGAATTAGAATGAAACGATCATTGCTATGAACCAATTGTGCTGGCTTATTTAGGGAGACTTCCTGCTTAAGTACCGAAAAGTGACATAGTATGCGAAATTATATGTAACTGATCGAGTTTTTAATGACTCGACATTTAAAATATGCGAACAAAGCAAATTTTGTATGATCATATTTCTTCAGTGTTTTTTTTCAACGAGTTATATAATATAAGAGTTTTTTTTAAAGATATGTCTTTTCCTCAAGGATATTTAAATATCACAGGAGAATTCGTATATACTATTAGTTATAAAGATTTTTTGACAGGTTATATGGACGTATATAAACGATTGTTTGTATATACATGTGTATATGTTATATTACAAACTAACGTATATACGGCCATATAACCCACCAAGAAGTTTTATAGCGAATTTATAATACTTTATTATATGGTCTAAATATAGCTGCAATCTCATTGGTTCAAACTATAGTCAACAAAATTTTTATAAAATCATATTCCCTGGGTGTAGTAATTAACTATGATATTCACTGGCTAAATTGGATTTTCCCCGTCTAAAAATAGATTGAGACTCATATTCAATGATCATATATCGTAGACTGTTCATTACACGTGCTTATTAAAAACTAATCGTTGCGTTTTGCTCTGTATGGTATATTTCTCGATTAAAATATCATTACTTTATTATTATAGTTGAAAGTTACACCGCAATGATGAGTTTAAACTTGAATTACTTTTGTATGCGCAGCTTTAGCGTAGTTGTTGCACACCTCACAAGTGCGTCTTTTTTCCCGCGCTTCAACGAAACAGGCAAAAGTAATACACGTATAAGGTTGTGATTTCTGTTATTTTCTAGTTCTTATAACCTATTCATATAATAAAACAATTATTGACTAGTGAGCCATGGAATATGATGTGATATTCACTGGCAGAAAGTCATCTGCCGGTGAATATCACATCATATTCAATGGCACACTAGTCAATAATTATATAATAATACAGCAAACCTCCGCTTTCGAGGGAAAAATAGATTTTTTTTTATAAATTGATATATAAAACTATATAAACGTCACGATTAGCCAATGAAAAGCGATGTTACAAACGTGCAGTATAATAATTGATAAGGAAATAATATCAGTAACAAAATCCTTCTTCACATCTATTGTTACATTCCTCTTTTTTGCATTATAAAAGAACTTAGAATGAAACGATCAATGTTATTAAACCAATTTATCTGCCTAATTTGACTACTTCCTGGTAAAATACCGAAAAGCGACATATATCTGCGAAATTATATGAAATTGATGGTGTTTTTTTATGACTTGGCGGAACTGATATTACAAGCTGGTATTTAAAACATTCAATTATGATGATATATTTTACTGTTTTCCAGGAAATATATAATATTAAATGATTTTTTGAGCAGAGGTGGTTTTACATCATCTGAGAATACGTATCAAGTGTAAACGTATAGACCTTTTTACAATATGTTTTTCCATAGCAACGAATGTTGCATTTCGCGCATGCGCATTCTGCGTAGGGCAGAAAACAATAACGATGTCTACAGTTGATCATACTTTAAGACTTTAATAGATGATGCTTCTTGTTATGTCACCAAAAAATATTAAATTTGGGATGACTTAAGTACAGAAAACATGAATTTATTTTTTAAGAGATCTACGAAAATGTGCGGGAGTAATAATTCAATGGTCAAAACGGGCACACACATATCTTTGTTTAAGGTATCATTAGACGACTTTTCCATCAGTAATTTAAATTGAAAAGCAGGGTGTAAAAGATAAATTTTTTATTACCACGTATTACATAATATTACACAATTTGTATTGTACACTTCCTTTAAATAACTGGATTGGTCAGGCGGCAAGTGTCAAACAGATTGGCACCCGAACGTTTGTTCATTGAACCGGGACGTTTAAATATCATGATATAGTTAATCAGTTACGTTTATTAAAATGGTAATTTATGTAACATTTAAATATACCGATCAATGTTTATGGATTTTGAGAAGAGAAAAATTGTGTCACGTGCATTATTAAAAATAACATGTATTACGGAGAAGCGGGAAAAATGTGTGTGGTATCTTTTCCAAACAACCCATTTTAACTTTCAAGACTTTGAAAAAAATAATCAATTATTTAAAATGTATTTATGTGACTTAATTTTTTTTCTGTTTGCATCACAAGCAAATCGGATAAAAGATAAAATCAGGTATATTGAACACTTAAAATGCAATATCACCTGTTCTAATATTTTTCTGAATGATAATTCATCTCCATTTAATGTTATATAATTTCTTTTGTTTTTAAATGAACTATTTCAACAGCAAATAAGTTGACGTTTCATTTGGTAATAGATATATTTTCACATCTTCTTTAAAAAAAATGATCTCAGTGTCAGTTCCGTGATCGTAAATTCTTAAACAAGTATCTTTTTTCATGCCTTTTTATGGCATTCTTCGCCAAAAAGCTATGAAGTCATCTTTTCTATATTTGTTAAAAGCTATTTTATATAATTTTCTACCGTTTACCTTGAACTAAGTCGGAATTGTCTATGAACTTTTACTATATTTCTATGTAGGGCGAATGATTTCTTGCCCTACGCAGATTGCGCATGCGCGAGAAAATTCTAATTCCGGGCGATTTTTCACAGCAACGGACCGCGTCGTAAAAAGGTCTATATAAACGGAAGAAAAACCAGAAAAAGACAAAAAACAAGAAAAACAAATAAAAACAAAATAAAATCATTCTTCCTTTTATGGCTGCCAATCTTAGCGAAGTGCCTTTTCGTTTACTCCCCTTTTTTGCCGCCACACGAAGATGCTAAAGTACGAAGACACGGTGTCATGTTTTGATACTTTTGTTTTCTAGCCTGCTAAACGAGAACAGTCTTCTTTCGTGTTAGGTCATGCCAAATATGTACCCCTAACAACACGGACTAAACTGCTAAAGAACGAACTATTACGAATA